GAGGCCACAGGAGAGGAAATTCCAGTTCTTTAAAAAAATTCTTTCCGCCCATTCACTGTCTGCGGTATTTTTCCTTCTCCAGTCGCCAGGAGCAGTGCTCTGACTGTGGGGAGGGGCCAGGTTATCAGCCAGCAGCTGGGAGATCCCTGCTGGAGGCTGGGTGCTCACGCTGAGGTCACCTCCAGATCTTCTAGGGCACAACACCGAACGGTTAAGGCATCCGAGCTGAGTCATGTTGGGGTGGGGCTCATCCCACCAGGGGTCTAGGGCCTGTTCCCGGCGTCGTGTGGCTAGCTGTGGATCCAGGGAGTGGCCCTGACACAGCCGTTTGTCTACACACTTTGTCTCCTCACCACACCCAGCCTGCACACTCATACCCAAAGGAAATCGGGGTCCCAGGGCCAGGTGTGTGTCCTGCCTCCTCCTGCCTACAGATGTCCCTGGGACCCAAGCAGCCCGGACAGTGCGAAGGTCAGGTTGTGCAAGGGCGGGGCCGCCACCCATGCTGATGCAGGATCCCACGCCTGAGCTGCCTGCCAGGCTTTGCAGAGATGGGCAGAGGCTGGGAGTTGAAGCCTCCTAGGCATGTGTGGAGCCATCCTCACATTTGAACTTGAGGGAGAAAGGCCATAGAAGAAAGAAAGAAATTCAGCTCCCTCGAGTGAAAGGCTCCAGTCCACGTGAACCTCTCCAAGGTGCACTGAGTGCTCACCATGTGCCCGATGCCCTGAGTCAGGAGGCACCATTAAGGCTGCGCCCAGAGGTGGATGACGTCAAGGCCTTCACACGCAGCGCCGACGTCTTCCTGACACAGAGTGGAGGGCACAGAGCTAGGAGGCTGTGCCGGAAGCTGAGCGGGCTCTGATGCCCCTCGTCCTGAAGCCCGCCTTAGGACATCGCTGGCAGAGACAGTGCTGTTGGTGGAGGGAACAGGCGACTCAGGGTTGAGGGTGTCTGCAGGGAAGTTAGCCCGCCCTCTGTGCAGGCTGAAGCAGGGAAACACAGTGTAAGGTCTTCAGTGGGCTGTGCCTTCAGGGGGCCGCTGCACCCTCGGAAAGCACAGTGAACAGGCCATGAGACCCTGCGATGGAGTTGCAGGCGTGGGGGCCGTTCCCAGCCCTGGAAGCCTTCATGCCGGTGACATCATGGTTCCTGCCTGTCTCTGGCTGCCCACTCCAGCCCTGTCTCAGGAGACTGGCGAGAGAGGCCCTGGGCAGAGCTAGAGGCTGCCGCGGGGGTGTAGGCAGCAAGCAAACATTGATTCAGATCAGGCAGGGAGAGGGCCAGGTTCCAGCAAGCGCCACGGGCCCTGTTCCTTCTCGTTGGAGGCCACTGGGCAGAATTCCAGGGGTTCTGGGGAATGGGTTGGCCTTGTGACTCAGGCATTAATCAGGACCATGAAGCCTGGAGAAAATTATGTGCTCTCAAGGAGGTTCTGTTCAATAAAGACGGCATAGGGAGGCAGGGGGTGGAGGGCAGCGGAGACTTGCCGCCCCCTCCTTCACGCGGGGTTTCTGGCTTGGAATTCCAGAGCAGGCTGCTGTGCCCAGGGCGGTACAGTAAGGGCTTCGGTGGGGAAACCCGGCCCAGAGCCCGAGCCTCCCGCCCCCACTGGTTTTGGCTTTGAAATCCTCCTTTGTGTCATCCACTCCCGGGCTGATTCACGGCGGTTGTTAGGGGTCTGTGTGGTGGCAACTCCACACAACAATGCAGTTTCGGAGGCGAGTAAGGGGTGTGTCTCCCCAGTGTGGGGCAGGCGCCTTTCCAGCACCTCAGCAGACTGGGCCTGTTGTGGGTGGGGGGGAGGGGAGGGGGAGGGGGAAGGGAGGAGAAAGAGAGGGAGGGGGAGGGGAGGGGAGGGGGAGAATTAGTATTTGGGCTTTCTGGAGCTGTCTGTTAAGTTCAGTGAAACTTTTTTCTCCCTGCTGACATTTTTTAAGTTTGCTTTTTTTTTTTTCCCCTTTCCTTTTTGTTCGTTTCAGACTTTTTTTTACTTGCACTGAAAAGGTGTCCTTACCGGGTGGCTCCCTACCAAAGAGCGTTTTCAGTCAGATTATTAACAGTCTCCCTCGCTGGGAACCGTCCGTTCCCTGTTAGGGTGGAGCGGGGCGAGTCTGCCTTCCCACCCCACCCTGCAGCGAGTTGTTTCCGAGCATTTCGGGGTGGGTGTGGCGCCCTCAGCCTTCTCCCTCCACTTTATTTTCCTGAACGACCCACTTTCCCTGATCTAGCTGCGCAGAGGAGGCCACCAGGTTCCCCTCCTTCCCTGGGAACGCAGGTGGGGCGTCCGGCGACAGATCGTGTTGCCCGATAGCTCTTTGCAAGTTGAAACCAGCCTGCGCCTGGGCGGGGTGCGGGCATGGGGAGGGGGGTGGGCCGGCTGCCGCTTCCGCGTTCCAGGGCGGGGAGTGGGAGTGGGGGGAGTGGGCCGGGGGTGCTCTGCCTGGAAAACGGAGCTGGCAGGGTGCGGCCGCTCCGGGGCGCGGGGCAGAGGCCAGCCTTAAATCTTGGAACAGTAGGCTCACTCTAGGCAGAGGGACTGCTGCAGCAGGCAAATCCGGGCTCCCGAGCTAACGTTACTTACTTCCGGAGATGGGTCCCCAGCCCGTGGCCAGCCAGGGCTCAGCCTTGTGCAATCGTGCTTGCTTCATGGTTCAGACGCTGCCGAGGGGGCCGCGCGGGGCTGGGTTCCTTTCCGTACCTGCCCTCATTCTCCGCCTCGCCCGGCTCGCCGCCCTTCTGCCCCCTCCGCTAGCATTGGCTCCCTGAATTCTCTGGTGAGTCAGGGTCCGCGCCTGGGCATGTGGGGGCTCTGTTAGCTCTCTGACCTGGTGGTCACTCTGGGTCTTAACCTTCGAGGAAGAAGGGCTACAGTAGTGGGGTCTAAAGGACACTGGCCTAGGCCTGAGGGAGTTGGGTCCTCATGCAGGGGACCCTGGCCTGGCCTCTCTGGTGTCTCCTCCAGGGGCAGAGGTTGGTGTCTCTAGGACGGACAGGCCCAGCGTGTGCTTATTTATGGGTTTCCAGGTCGTCGATCTGAAGATCCCCAGCGTGTGTGACCCGCAGCGCCACTGCCAAGGCGTGTTGCCTTTAGTTTAGTCAGAGGCCCTGCACGCAGCTGACGTGGGAGCGACCGTGGGAGCGACCGGCAAAGGCAGTATTTCTCCCGGTGACTCCTCGGTGCTACTCACGTGATGTGGGGGGAGGGGTCGGTGAAGGTCCACGGCTGTGAGGACTACAGTGCTGACCGTATTTCTAAGTTGAGGGCCTGGGCGATAGCTCAGTAGAATAAGCACTTGCCTGGCACGTGCAAGGTCCTGAGCTCAATCTCCGGTACCGCAAACAAAATACACTCTAAGGTGAACGTGTGTTTGTAGTATATCTCATGAGATTCCCAATCTTTACATGCATACAGGCATGTGCAGGGAGTGTTAGCAAGCTTCCCGGGTGCCACTCTGAGGTCACAGTGACTGTGCTTATCGGCACGTTTTTGTTCTCTGTGCAGAGTGGTTGTAAGTAAGATACATATTCCTTGTATTAAACAGCGGCACAGTGTGTTCTGAAGTTCATTTATCACTTAGCAGATGGTGAACCTTTTAGAGGTCAGTGCCCAGGCGGTCACCAGAACCGCACCTATGTAGCACAGAGTGCCAACACTACAGGTAAACCTGAATGCCGTGCCTCAGGGACGACCCTGGGGTAACTGGCTGGGTGCCCGCAGAAAGGGCTCTGTGTGCCCACTGCAGCCATAGGCTCACCATAGGTTCCTGGTGGACCCCTACCCAGGACCTTGTAGCTCGAACCCTTGTCATATGGAGGGCTCTTCCTGTGTCCTGCTGTGTGGATGAATGAACTGTGCTCTTGGGGCCGGGAAAGTGACTCGGTGGTAGAATGTGGCCAGGTCACTGAGTTCCACCCCTAATATGGAAACAAAAAATTGAATATGATACTGAAAGGTGGCAGGAGAGAGCTTTGTGGAACGGGGCTGTCACCACCTACTGGAGCCAATACCAGAATCATACGGACTTCAGGACGCTTGGCTTGCTAGGAAAAGGACCGAGGAGGGTGGCATGGGAGGAAGAACTGTGGATCTAGACAGCAGGAGGGCTGCCGTGTTGTGGGGCGGGACAGGATGGTTGAAGTGAGGAGCAGCGGGCTGGCCCAGCCTCCTTTGCTGAGATGTAGAGGGACGGAGGCTGGGTTCTGGCATTTTTGTTTCTAGTTGTCTATGGTAGTGACAAGCAGAATTCAGTCCTGTTTTGGTGATTCTCAGCTGAAGGCCGCTGCTGTGACTCCCGGATGCTTCTGGGCCCACGTCAGGATTCTGGAGATTCTGGCCTTAGGAAGGGACACTTCCGTTTTTGCCAGGAGATCCCAAGCCTCGGCCCGTGCTACTGATTACTACACAGGCTTTTGGTTGAGAGCAAACCCAGCTCTCTAGATCCTGGGGCCAGCCCTGCTCAGTGGGAATAGGGTAGGAGCTGCAGACACAGCGGCAGGCGTTAGAGAAAGGTCAGAGAAGTAGGTGACCCTAGCATTACACGATGTATTTTATTTATTGTGATATGCCGAACATATCATAGAGTATGTCATCGGTATAACAATTAATTACCAGTGGAATAGTTTCCATCCCCCAGCTCCAAAATCCAGTCCCTTATCCTGAGGACGCGTCTTGGCTTGGCCTGGGACGTTTCAGATGCCTGCTAGCCACATAGGGCTGGCAGCTGGTGCAGTGGACGGTTGAATTATAGCAAAGACATTCTTACTAATGAATTAATTAATTTTGTACTTTGGAGGCAGGATATGTAGTTCTGGCTGGCCTTGAGCTCACTTTGGAGCCCAGGTTGGTCTTGAGCGCACGACGATCCTCCTGCCTCAGCCTCCCAAGTGCTGGGATTACAGTGTGCAGCACCATGTCCGGCTGTAGCTTATTTCTAGAGCAAGACTTACTGTCCAGGATGTTAGCTCTCGGGCTAGTCATACTGGCAAGAAGAGGCCGCCCAAAGCTGTGGGGCTGGGCGGATCGGAATGGTGTTGATCGGCTTCCTTTTTGACTAGTTTAAAACGCTTGTGTGAACCCAGTGCGGTGCCTCACACTGTCATCCTGGCACTCTGAGAGGATCTCATGCTTGGGGTCACGCGTAGATGGACCCTGTCTCAGAGTAAAACAGGGCTGGAGGCATAGCAGAGTACTAGAGTACTTGCCTGTCAGGAATGAGGCCCCAGGCTCAAAAAGCAAAACACTGTGAACACCAGGAAGAGCGGAGAAAGCCCAGGATGAGAACCCTGCAGGGATGCGTGTGTAAGCACAGCCAAGGGCGAGGCTTCTCATCATGTCCCCTCAGGTCCCAGCCTGCACCGGCCTGGAACCTGCTTAGTATGAAACTGTTTTACAAATGTCTTGCTGGGTGTGGTGCTGCATGCCTATAATCTCAGCACTCAGGAGGCTGAGGCAGGAAGATTGCCACGAGTTAGAGGCCAGCCTGGGCTCTGTAATTCAAGGCCAGCCTGAACTGCAGAGCAAGACTTGGTCTCAGTAAATAAATAATAATAAAAAAAAATACCTCTCAGCATCACTGGATTAGGGATGCAGTTATGGGCCTGATAATACGGATCATTGGATTAGGGATGCAGTTATGGGCCTGATAATACGGTGGTCCACGCAGAAATGGGCCGCGTGAGAGTGCTGTTGACCTCAGTTCACACCAGGGCTCTTGGGCCTTCTCTGCATGTAATTACATGTGAGACAGGTGAGGGTCATGCCGAGTTTGAGATATGTGCCAGGCGTTCTGATAAGTGGAAGACTCAGCTCTGTCCTTCTCACCGAGCTGGACTGGCCTCGGATCCCTCTGTTCTGGTGCCGGCCCATTAGTCTGCTCAGTTCTGTTTGTTCAGAGCAGGACGGGCTGGCCTAGGGGAGACTGTTGCTGCGTCTCCTGTTCCTAATCGTGAGGCGGGTATCTGTTCCAAGAATCCTGCTGTCCTGGCCTAAGATGAAGTGGTCCAAGCGGTAGAAATTAGTGGAGTGAATCTCAGCTTTGGGGGAAAGGCAGCCTCTTTATTGAGACTCTTTTGTTGTGCTTTTGTTTTCCAGGTTTGTTCAAAATGTCTACCGTTCACGAAATCCTGTGCAAGCTCAGCTTGGAGGGGGACGTAAGTACCAGCGTTGCTCACTGGGTGCAAGCCTCGCGCTCGCTCGGGGGTCTCCGCGGAACAGTGCGCTTTCCCCGCTTGTCCAGGGAAAACCGACACGAAGTTGCGTCTTGCTGGGCAGCCTTCCGCCCCATGTTGCGACCTTAAAATCTTGGCATCCCATTCGCATAGGACAGAGTTAGAGACCCGGCCTGACTAGACTTAGACTGCGTAGTGTTCATTATGTCCGTGGCCATCGCCGTTACAAGGGACGATGTGTGACTTTGTACTGTTGTGATTGTGGTTTTGTTTCTGTTTAGCGTACACTTCTGCTGGATCCAAAAGGCGCTCTGCATCCAAAAGGCGCTCTGCGTCTTTTAGACTCTCCCCCAGGGTGCGGGCTAGGCCAGACCCTGCACTTTTCTCTTTAAAATTTCATGCCTGGGAAAGCTCTTCTCTATAAAGCCAGGAATTACTGGAACTCATCATAATTTAGTTTGGCCATCAGGGAGCTCAGAGTTAAATTTGTCTTTCAGAGGAAATATGTGAACCCAGGACATGTACTTCTTTCTTTCAGAATGAAATTTTCAGGCTGGCCAGATAGCTCAGTGGATTATAAAATATATACTGTCATTCAAATTAAGATTTAAATTGGGTGTGGTGACGCACACCTGTAATCCCAGCACTCCGGAGGCTGAGTCAGGAGGATCCTTGTGAGTTGAGACCAGCCTGGGCTCCAGAGTGAGCTGAAGCTCAAGCCTGATCTGCCTAGCGAGATCCTATTCTGAGAAAGTCACTAAAAACAGAGACTCCCTCAAGGATCCGACAGTGTGGGCCGCGTGGCTCAGCATCCTCTCTGTCTCTGGTCCTGGTCATCCACGTGCTCACGTGAGGGGGTCGAAGCAAGTGCCGCAGGATGGAGCCTGCGCAGCCAGGCCTAGTTCTGCCTTTGCAAGTCCTCCGGGGCCTCGTGTGCCCCGCTGTTGGCAGCGGCACCAGCTGTCTGGGAGGCTGGGTCTACGCAAGTGGTGGGCCGTTTTTGTGTCTAATAGCTTTGATCTTTAGATCACTTTTAGTATCAATTTACAGGAGAGCTGTTGGTTCCTTGGAGAGCATCTCCACCCCCGTGTGGCACATTTCTCCCTGTTGGGGGACGAGGCCTCTAAAAATGCCACCCATTTCCCAAAATATTAAGGGCAGAAAAGATCACTTTTGCCCCAGTAACTTAATTTTTTGGCCAGCTCATTTTTTTAGGTAAGAGGTCCAACTGTCTGTTTAGTTCTGTTTCTAGAGATACTTTAAAATAACAGACCTTTTACCCAATTACTACTGTTTTGGAATAGAGTGATGTTTAGCCTAGTAAAATAAAGCCCTGTGTGTTTAGGCTGGTGGTCAGACTGTCTACCTTTGCAAATTAGGAATTGATGGTGCTGTTAAAAAATGGGAAAATGTTTTTCCTTACATCTCCCCTGCATTTTGTGGCCACCACGTGAAGTACAGGGAATATTTCAAAATATCACTTTGCCCTGAATGCTTGTCCCATTTCCATTAAGCTATTCTCCTGAAAAGCTTAAGGAGTGAAATTAGATGCAGCAAGCCTTGGTAATCCAAAGCTTAGGTGCCAAGATTCTCTTCCCCAGCTTTATCACGTGGCCAGGACATTTGGACGTGCATGCGTGACCCTGAGTTTAGATTTCTACCACAGCTGTCCTGGAGGTCAGGGGTTGGGCGCTTACCATGCACACTCTTTGCTGTGAAGTTCCCAGGCGAGCTGGGCGTGGAGTCTGCAACCCCAACCCTCCGGAGGTTGAGGGGATCACAGGTTCAAGCCCAGCATGAGCGGGCTATGCCCTGACTCCATACCGAGGAAGGAGAAGGGGGTGGGGACCCTGGAAGCTGAGCCAGAGCGCTGCCCTCGTACCCTGTGGCTCAGAGGGCTGCAGAGGGGGTGGTGGGGACATTGTAGGATGGGACAGTGGTGGGTAGATGGCTTTGCTGTCCTTGGCCAGCCAAAGCCCTGTGTCTGCCATCCCCTGGGGGCTGGGTACTTGTGACCAAGGCGGCAGGCGAGACTTAAATTCCTGGAAGGTTGAACCGCCAGGAAGCCGGTGGGCGGGCAGAGCTCGCCTCCGTCAACCAGGAAGGGTGAGTGCTTTGACAAGCACTGTGGGAAGAGGGCTGGTGTGCCGGGCAGGTAGGACGGAGCACACAGCGGAGTGGTGGCCACGGGGTGGTGTTGCGCAAGGTGGCGGGAGCACAGAGGAGAGAGAGCAGTGGGAACAGTGGGGATGTGGGCCATCTGTGGTGCCGGTGGTGGCCGGAGCAGGGGACAGGAGGGCACCTCCTGTGCTTATCTGATAGATCTCTCTCCTCTCTCTGTCTGCCTCTGCCTCTGCCTCTGCCTCTGCCTCTGCCTCTGCCTCTGCCTCTGCCTCTGCCTCTGCCTCTGTCTGTTGCTGTCTCTGTCTCTCTTCCCGGGTTCCTCAGGCTGCTCAAGGACTCCAGATCCTCCTGCCTCAGCCTCCAAGTAGCTGGGATTTGCATGTACTGTTTAAAGATTTGAAGACCCAGCAGTACTGCCTCAGGGACATTCATGTGCCTTTAACAAAAACTCGGCAAAGCCTACTAGCCATTCAGGCATTTCTGCCTAGGAGCTGAGTTTGAAGGCCGCTAGATCAGTTTAATGGCCACCACCTTCCCGAATAAATGCTGCTCTCCTCGGGTTCCTCAGCTTGGCATTCACGCCTTTGTGCTCTCGCTAAAAGGCCGAAGGTAGGAATGCGGACAGTTTGTTCTGCGCTGGGCGGATTTTGAACAGTTCTGTCCGGGAAGCCTGCGCTCTCCTGTGCGGCAGTTGTGTGGCTCGTACTTAGCTGAAGCGAGAATGATGGTTGAAAGAAACAGAACTGAAAGAGTAAATAAGATCCAAAAGGTACAATAGACACCGTCAAAGAGAAAGAACTGCTCAAACGGAAAGAACAACCAGTCTGGGGGAAAGGAGAAAAAGAAGGACAGGAAATACACACACACACACACACACACACACACACGCACACATACACACACACACACACACACGATAGCCAAGATAATTGTACTACTAATTTCTGTTGGTTTATTCAAAAGAACAGTTAATGTCTAATTCATCAATTTTGCAAGCTTGTATCTGGTAATCTGAACATCTACTTGGAAGATAACAACGTGCAATGTTACAACCATTGTTTATTTCCTATCATGTGTTGAAATACTCTTGTTGCTGATGCTTTTAAACATTTTTTATTCTCTTTAAAAGAAAAATAAATAAATAAATGAAAGAAAAAAAGAAAGAAAGAAAGAAAGAAAGAAAGAGAGTCCCTCTTGGTGATCCGCGCGTGGGGGCTGCAGGCGCATGTTCCTGACGCTGTCTGTGTTTGCACCCCAGCACTCCACACCCGCCAGTGCCTACGGGTCCGTCAAAGCCCACACCAACTTTGATGCGGAGCGGGATGCCCTGAACATCGAGACAGCCATCAAGACCAAAGGTGGGTGATGCGAGATCCCCCTTACACACACACAGGGCTCCGCCGAGGACCTGGAGGCCCTCGCTATCCTCCAGCCAGGCCCCTGCACTGGTCAGCTGAGGTGCTGTGGGGCTTAAGGGAGCAGAGCCAGGCCGGGCAGGCTTTCTCTTCCAGCTTTATTCCTAGACCAGTGTGGGCCCCTTTGACCCGACGGGCCGCCCGTGACTGAGCTTGGGCTGGTGGAAGGGCTGTCTAGCCCTAGGCTTTCCTCGAATTCCAGGGTGAGTGGGAAGCCACCAGCTCACTTGCAAGCCTTCCTCCCTTTTGAAACAAAGCAAATGGAGCATTTAATTTGGTTTGGTTGGGTTGGGCAAGAACTCCTTGGGGTCATTATTTCTTGCAGTTGTATAGAGTAGATCCACAGCCCTTTGGGCTTGTAGTAGCGAGGCAGTCTAGGGGTTGTGATTCACCCGTATCCCTGGTATCCTGGCCGTCGTATGGTCGTTCTTAGGGCTCCCTGGTGTCTGGACAAAGCACCTCCTTCCACCATGAGGCAGCAGGGAGAGCAGGAATATCCCCCTCCATGGTTCTAACAGCACAAGGGTCTATGCCACCTGCCCCTTCCTTTCTTTTCTTTTTTTTTTTTTTTTTTGGCTCAACCTTTTCATATAAAAAACTCATTGATGTACAAAAATGTGAAAGTTTGACAATGACAACATATGAAATCCTGAGGTTGAAAGTCCCCTCCAGTGCACTCCGTGGTCACATGCGCCCACCCACAGATTCTGGCGTGGAAACATAAACTAATGCCAACCAGTGCCACCAAGAAGTGCCAGCGTGTGTATCCTTCACTCCGTCAATCACAGACCCAGTATCCACTCTGACACTCAGTAACAAAAAGCACAGCATCTTCCCAGGAACAGCAAGGCAGGCTTCTTACTCACGATGGAGTAGCACGAACACACCCAGGAAGAAAAGGACTGCATACTTAAATTTAGGGTAGTCATTCATGAGGATTGTCACAATTCCAATGTAAGGAACAAGTAATTCCTGTCCTCCACTGATCTGTTCTCCTGATATAATCCCCTGGCTCTCCCCACGACATCTTTTTTCTCTAGCCAGTGCTGTCCTTGTGTATAGAGGCCTCGATCATCAACAGCATTGTTATCTCCTTTGGTCAGAAACTTAATTTGCCCATTTTGCTTTTTATGAATCTTCAAGACTCAGATGAACTATAGGAATCTCTCTTCCTTCTATCCTAAAAACAACAATTTCCCCTACTCGTATAGGATCTTCAACTCGATTTGTTAGAAAGAGAAGATCTCCTCTGAAATGCAGGCTCCATGCTGCCGGGTATGTAGAGGTTTCAGTCCATGGCCAGCTGTCTTCCAGGCAGGGGGGCACATGGCAGAGGGGCATTATAGTGGAGAAACAACTCATGGTGTGGCAGGGAAGGCAGAAGGCATCAAGTCCCCTTCCGTTCCCTGGGGCCGTTGTGGGCCACCTGTAGTCGCTGCCAGCTCTGCTGAAGGGGAGAAGCTGTGGAGGACTTCTGTTAGGCCTTTAAGAAATTGCTTTTGGTGATTTTGCTTTTTTGTTTGTCTCATACCCTGGGTTGAGCCCTGGGCTGCTCTACCACCAGGCCACGGCCCTCGCTTATTTTGATTTTGAGACAGGTAGCCCAGGTTGGCCTTGGCCTTTGGATCCTCCTGTCTCAGCCTCCTGAGCTGGGATTGTGGGCATGCGCCATCATGCTTGGCTTTTGGTGCTTCTGAAATAAATTCTTGTCAAAGGTTGAAATCAGAACAGGAGATTAAGATCCAAAGGGCTGTCTCAGGTCAGTCAGTTCTGATCAGAGAAGCACCCCGAGTTCAAAGGCTAGTGCTGCCACTCACTGGGGGTCTGACTCCAAGGAAGCCCTGGGCTCTGGAAACTCCCGTTTCCTCACCTATGGAGTGGGGCTCAAGCACCCCATCATGCGCTAGCTCTTGGTGTGGACCGTGGTGGACATGCGTTACCAGGCGGAAGCCAGGCTCGGAGGCTCACGCCAGTCGTGCTGTTCCATGCCGGCACCCCGGGAGGTGGGAGCAGGGGGATAAAGTTGGAACACAGCCTGGGAAACTTTGTGACAGCCCCCAGTGGCAAAAAGAAAAGCAGAGAGACACAGGAACACACATGCACGTGTCTGCTTGCCTAAAAGTCGCCCTTCTTCGTTAGGGGTGTGCCTGGGTGCTTGTGGCATCCCAGTGACCTTGGTGAATGACCCCAGAGCTTGGGACTCCAACTCATTTGGTAGAGACAGATGCTGTATCTTTTATGGACTTAGGCAGAGGGTGTGTTCATCTGGGAGTGAGAGCTTTTAAACGTTGGAATGTAAAGATTGCGCAAAGGAACTGTGGTCCCGGAGAGTTCCTGTTAATAAAAATACCTTCAGGCCCTTTCTGCATGAGTAGAAAAATACTGCAGGTCCCAGCAGGTGACGGGGGTGGGGGAGTGGGGGAGCATGGGAATTCCTGCATTCCGGTCTGGGCAGCAGGGACGCAGTGTGGGGCTCACCTGGCACTTGGGGAGCAGCGGGCGCCAGGAGCGTCAGCTCCACCGCTGCTGGGATGTCCCCCCTGCTCACTGTCACGCCAGTGTCTGCCACCCCCGGCCCCTGCCGACATTCAAGCTGAGTTCGGCCCAGCCCCGGGCTCCACGCGTGTGTTCTTGGGTACCACCTGCGGCGCCCAGCTGTCGGATCAGAACCGTTTTCTGAGCCCTGAACTATTTCCAGGCATGAAATGCATTGCCAGCCGCGGTCCTGCGGTCATCTGATGGCGTCCCTGTGTCACTCAGCATTGCTTAAGTCCCCTGGCCCTTGTTTTCTTTCTACTCTTAATGCTCAGTGAGTGTCATTTTTCACTTACTGTTGGTGCCTCGTGATTTCAGGGAGCAGCTGTTTTCTTGAGTTAAATCCATCAGCCATTGAGGTTAATTTCTTTGTTGCCACTTGAAAAAGCCTTCAGGCCTCTCAGGAAAGGCTGGGGAAGAGGGCATGATGTGTCAGTGTTGGCTGTCTGGGGCAGGGAGAACCTGGATGTGTCAGTGAAGGAGACGTGAAACCACCTCAGGGTATTTTCAGGATGTCGTGCGTGGTATGGGCTGACGTGGTGGCGCAGGCCTCTAATCCTAGCACTTGGGAGGCTGAGGCACGAGTTTGGGGCCAGCCTGGGTTCCATAGGGACTTCAAGGCCAGCCTGAATTACAGAGCCAGGTGCAAGAGGAAAAAAAAAAAAAAAAAAAAAGGAAAGGACATTAGTAACAGATGTACAGAATCACGAGTGATTGATGTTGGCCTTTCTCAAGCTTTTGCATGTTCTGTATTTTTGAAGTTTTCTAGAGTGATCTGTTTAACCTGCATAATGAATGGCAGCAAGCATGACAGAATGAGCTCGCTGGTTGGGGAGGTGGCACCATTCTGACCCTTTCTCCTCGGCCCTTAATGTTTCAGATGACAACACCACCGGTGACCCAGGTGTCCCTAAGGTGCTCCCACCAGGCCCAGGCCTGGTCCCAGCGCCCCCCGCCCCCTGACATTTTGTCTGGAGCTCGTCTTTTCTTGACATCAAATAAAACAAGGGGAAAGGCAAAGGCCGACGCAGACGCAGGCCAAGTGCCAGGCGATGGCGTCCCCACGCCCTGCTAGATAAGTTAGATGGCGCTCTGTGTGCCACCTGCGAGGGTGGGCGCTCCCTCTGCTGTCCCTGTGTCTGTGTTCCTGGGAAAGACAGGAAAAGAGCTGGGCGGGGGCAGGGGCGCACACAGGGAAGAGGCCCGTGGTGACGCCACCCTTGCTGGGGGAGCACCTAGGTGCTCCCGGCTGTCTGGCCGCACCTGCAGACTGTCTTCTCCACAGGCCTCAGCTCTGTCCCTCTCCTCATGCTCCTGCTGCAGGTCCTTGTCCCTTCCTGACCCCCATCCCTGCCGCCCTCCTGTGCAGCTCCAGTCCTGCCACAGCCATTGCTTACTTCCGGTTGTGTCTCTCCTGGTTCGTGAATGCTTTCTAATGCTCAGGCCATGAGTCTTTGATAAGGTGCATGTTTGACCCGAGGAGCAGTCAGAGGGCCCAGGGTGGGGACCAGAGCATCGCACAGGTACACGCAGGCAGGCGGCCTCAGGGCCACAAAGGTCGTTCCGGAGCTGGGTGACGTCCAGAGAGCGCGAAGTCCCCAGTGGCGTGGCTCTTGCGGAACAGCGTGTCCGTGGCCTGGTAGCCATGTCAAGCGCCGCCTGCGCCCCACAGTACCCTGCCGTGTGCACACTCTCTGGCTCGAGGTGGTCCATGCAGCCACTTAGATTAATTTGTGTCTTGTTAGCAACGAAGTTAAACCATGCAAAAGTAGTAATATTGCTTAATTAACAAGAGGTTTCTGTGATTTAATCTACAGGAGTCTCTTGGTCTAGATTGCCCTTGGGTTAAATATATACTGTGGTGTGTACAACACAGCTGTGAGTGGTTTGGCGTATGGGTCCAAATAACTCGGAAAGAAAGTCAGCTAAATTAGAAAAGGACAAATCTAGACTCCATGAAAGAGGTAGTAATTATCGCCAGCGCCTCCCTGGAGTTAGTGCAAGTGCCAGTAAGCAGGAAGTGCCTTAGTCTCTCCGGAAGGCAGGCTCTGTCATCAGCACGGGTTTGATTTTAGAAGTTTTGTGCGCGGGGTGAGAGATGCGAAGCAGGCGATTTCTCCTTCTCCAGCGCAGCTATTGTGGGGGCCGCAGCATGCTTGGTGCGCCTTATTCCCATTTCTGCGGTGAAGCTGCTTAGGCTTTCCTGCATGGCCTGAACACTAGCGTCCTGTCCCACTGCAAAGGAGGCCGGGACAGCCTCCTCTTTTCTCCCTGTCTGGGGAATTGAACCAGGAACGGAGGTGGGGCGGCACCAAGCTACATCCCCGGGCCTTTAGATTTATTTCTGGTGCCAGGAATCAAACTCAGGATCTCCTACTTGGCAGGTAGGCAGGCACAGTGTCACTGAGCTGTATCCCTGGCCCAGATTTTGTGTTTTGAGACATGGTCTTGTTAAGTTGCCCAGGCTGGCCTGGAGTCTGTGCTCCTCCTGCCTCAGCCTCCAGAGTGGCCGGGTGGTTCATAGGAGGCCTTGCTGAGCTGCCTCGCCTGCCCTGTTTGAGCACAAGGTTGTTTGGAGTGGGCTTGTGTGGCTGGAGGACAGAGCCCCGCCTGGTGGCACAGCCCAGAGCCTTTCTTATGGGGCGGAGCGTCTCCAGCTGCCCCTTCCCAGCCTTGCCTTCTTTCCTTGTAGACAGTGTTGCACCCCCTGGAGGAAATCCAGACCCCGCACTGGTTTTCCTTTACCTGGGATGAAGCCAGGTTCTTATCTGATGTCAGCAGTGCTGAGCGCTGAGGGAGGGGCGGGACAAAGCGCTCACATCTGGTGGGTTTGTTCAGAGCTTTTCTTCCCCTCTCCTGGAGTGGACGTAGTGTCAGGGCACGGATGGGGCATCGGTTGATTGCGTGCCTAGCTGAGGCAGGGCCTCACCGTGTGGCCCGTCTGCCTCAGCCTCAAGCGCTGGGATCGCAGGCATGTGCTGCCCTGCAGGCTGTTGTGTGCATTTTTGGTGCCTTCCTTTGTCTGCAATTTGATTTGATTCCCGTCCCCTACTCCTGTTTTCCCATTGGTCATGGAGAGCCTTCCACAGCCATGCTGTAACCGAGGCGAACCCCGTTATAGCTATTCAAGGGTCCTGTGGGAGTAGGTGGGGCCTGCAGCCTCTGAGGGGTGGAGCTGAGGTGACAGATTTGATTTCTGCACCGGACACAGCATGACGCCCGCAGGGAGGAGCCTGCCTTAAGGATCCGCTGCTGTTCTGATGAACAGAAAGTGCGCCTGCGCTCCCCCCTGGATCTGGGGCCCTGAGCAAGCTTCAGCCGGGGTTTCCAGGGCGGACCAGGAGAGGAGCAGGGCTTTCCGGTGCTGCCCATCCAGGCCTCCCTGGCCCTGGCCCTCTCGAGCCCTTCGTCCAGCACACACAAAACCATTGGCTGCGTGGTTGCTGAGAGCACCGGCAGCTGGGAGTCTGCATCCGGCTCCCTGGCTGCTGGCTCCCGGCTGTGGGCAATAAAGCCTCACAGTCTCCATGGAATGCGTGGTCATATGCTGACGGGGGCTCTCCACCTCAGAGAGGAGGAGGAGACCGCAGGGGTGGGCAGGATGTGTGGCTTGGGCTTGCACTCACTTTGGATTTCAGGTCCTTCCCCAAGCTGGAAAATACACTGGCGGTAGAAGGGCCCCATGGCCCCACCCTGCTTGGGCCCTGCTGGCCAGGGCTGCTGCTGGCTGGTGTCCAGAGTGCCAGTGACCTCTGAGATGCCCCTGGCCAGAGCGTCAGAATGGAAATACGTGGCAGCCAGCGGGTTAGTGAGCTGACTGCTTTCACTCCGGGGGTCAGCGCTCAGAAGCTCCCTGCTCTCCCCCCAGCCGCAAGTGCTTGCATTCGTGTTTTGGCTCCTTGCTGATCTGCAAACCTTAACTTTGTGTTTGTCTTTTTGGGACAGGGTCTCGCCGTGCAGCCCAGGCAGGTTTTGAGCTCACTGTCTCACTTTTGAAACCAAGCTGGTCTCCAACTCGCAGTGATCCTCCTGCCTCAGCCTCCAGAGTGCTGGGGCTACAGGCTTGCACCACCAAACCCAGGCGGTGCAATTTAACTTAACTTATGTTGGTCTTTGTAAACTTGAAGAAGTCAGCCTGGGTTGTGGGATTTGCAGTACACTCACCCCCGACACCCCGTGGGACCCCAAGAACTCTGGCTTAGAGCAGGTGACCATGAGGGGACAGGGAGAGGGACAGGAGAGGAAGCCTTGTCCAGGTTGGTTTCTTCTTTGAACCTGTGCCCAGCCTGTACAGCCTCGTACAGACCCTGGACTCTACTGCCTGGCGAGCCTCTCCCAAAGCCCTGAGAAGTGGAGAGTGAGGAAGAGTGTGTCTCCAGGGCGCGTGGAGCTCCACCCCGCTAAGCCATCCTAGTGAGCTGGCGCAGGGCTGAGGTGACTCTGCTGCGCGGGGCCCTTGCAGCTCAGCTGGATCGGGCTCCAGGATATTTTCCTCCTCCTGGTTCTGTTTGAAGGGTCTTTTGGGGGATTTTCAGTAACTGGATTGGATTCAAGTTCTGTTTTAGAGAGAGTGACCGAGGCCGACCCCTAGATAGACAGCCAGGTGGTACTGCTGCCGGTGGAGCAGGTGGCTTCATGGGCCAGTTCTCACCTGGGTTGTTCGTTTATTTTTTGTGGCTGGCCTGAGCTTGCCTGAGCTTGCCTAAGCAGGCGCTTTAGACCACTGAGCTATCTCACCGGTCCTTACCTGGGTTATTGTGGCAAAGGAAAGCCTGTGTTTCCCTGAAGCCGTAGTCAGCTGTACCCCAGGCAGCAGACGCCCTGGGCAGAAGTGATGTGCAAGGCTGCGTGTGCAGGCAGATGCCTCATGACTGTCCCCTTCCTCGCCATGCCAGTGGGTTCCTGGGGGTCCTCTAAGCAGTGGAGTTGAGATGTGCCAAGGGGACTGGTCATTTATTTTGTTCCTTTTCTGGTTCTGGGGATTGAGCCCAGGGCCTTCACATGAGTGAATACTTCTAGGTCATTTATTTTTTATTTTATTTTATTTTTTTTTAATTTATTTATTTATCCATCTATTCATGTGTGGCCAGCTCAGCCCACCAGGGGGCGCAGCTGGCTGGCATGTGGTGCTGGGGGATGGAACCGCGGTCCCTGTGCTTCGCCAAGCTTGTTCCAAGTAGGTGCTTTAGACCACTGAGCCATCTCACCAGCCCTTCTAGGTCATTTAAAATGATTGCACAGTACCATTCTGTGGCCAGAAGAACATGTAATCAGTGTGTTGTTGGATACTGTATTTCTCTCTCTTGCTTGCTCGCTTTTTTTTTTTTTTTTTTTTTTATCTTTTTGAGGCAGAGTCACGCTATGCAGTTCAGGCTGGTCTTGAGCTCACTTTGTAGCCCAGGTTGGCCTCAAACTCACAGTGATCTTCCTGCCTCAGCCTCGCCAGTGCTGGGATTACAGGTGTATGCCACCTGCCTCGCTTCCTCCTTTTGTTTTTTTTTAGTTTTCAACATTATCTACAAGAGTGAAAATGAGTATCTTTGAGCCTGACCCTAACACACAGCAGTTGGGTTTCTGTGTTTATGTGGACTGCTCTAAAAATCAGAGCTGACCTTATACTGCCGGAGGTAAGCCGGGATATTGGTATGAGCGCATTTTGAAATGAATATGTGCAGTTTGCCAAAAAATGTGTGCATACGTCGGGAAGAGAAAACCGTGTGTGAGCATGTGAATTCTACATTTATCGAGAGCCCGCGAGATTCGTACAAGTCACCTTCGGCCTCTGCAGTTACAAGAGGTGCTCGCAGCGGTGACCGCGCGCTGAGTACCCTGAACCGCGCTGCTTGAGGTTGCTGCGTGTGCGCTGCGCGCCGGCGGCGTGGAGGATTCTCTGTGACGCACGACAGCCCCTCGGGTCCCCGTGCGGGTCCCCGTGCGAGGGCGGCGCTGTCTGTGGGGGAGACATCGCACTGCCTTTCTTTTTCTCAAGAGTGCACGGATATTTTTGGTGGCGTCTGTCGGTGCCTTTGGCAGAATGGCGCTTAATTCTTGCTCAGCAATTGTGCCCTCGTGGTTTTCGATCTCTCTGCCACCCTGGAGAGGTCGGGACGCCTCTGCCTCCGCGCGTCGCCGTCTGCCCTTGCTGCCCCTTGAGACGCCTCTGATTCCCTTCAGGCCAAGCTGTTTGCAATTGGCGGGTAACCTTGCGGGCCCTGCTCCAGCGCCCCGGGATGACCAGCTCAGTCATGCCAAAGACTGTCCCTTTTATTAAACAAAGTTTATAATCAGTTGGGAGAGAGACCTTTCCCACTCTGAAGCCTTAAACTCGTGCTTTCTTCAGTTAAGTGGCGTGCTTGGAGTATTTCTGCTATAAAATTGGAAAAGTCCAGACACCACGAGGCACTGCTTATCTTTGTAAATACACATGTTCCAATTAAAGGAGCTACTAAAATATTTTGGTGGCACTTCAAAAACTCCCAATTTAGATTTAATTTAGATTAAAGCACTTACTCTTTTTAATAAAGTTATAAAATTGATTATTAAAATTGCCTATTGAAGACTGAATGTGGTGGAACGTTTATGTTCCTTACAAAACAATTTACTCTTCAATAAGTATATTAATCAATTATGCTATTAAAATACAACTCTGCCACAGTAAACCTGACTCATTTGTCATGAGTTTCTATAATTATAGAAATTACACCTGGATGCTTATATGGCCGTAATCCTCCAATAAATATAAATAATTGTCTCTTAATTCATTCTGCAGTTGCTGTCTATTAAATCCTCTGTTAAATGGCAATTTGAGGACCTTCGTTTAAAATCCTCTTAAATCTTTGTTGCTCTCTGTGACTGCTGAAGCCTCGCAAAGGCATCTCCTGCTGTTGATTTCAGAAACCAATTTATGAGTCAATAGTTTTTAAAATAAGAATATTTCAAAGGTCTGTTTAGGCTTAAGGTATAAGGGTGTCTAGAAGAAAATGAAGAGCCGAGGTCCTGTGCGGTGGTGGTCCACCGGCAAACAGAACAAACCTTGCTGTCCTTCCTTTTTTCGTTTGCAAACCAGTTTGTAAAATCCCACTTACAGCCTTCTGTCAGCCTGGAGTGTGAGCCGATGTGGCCAGGTGACCGCTCCCAATTTTGTCCCCACAGGTGTGGATGAGGTTACCATCGTCAACATTTTGACCAACCGCAGCAACCCACAGAGGCAGGACATTGCCTTCGCGTACCACAGGAGGACCAAAAAGGTAGCCACCTCCTAGGGACAGGCCGGGGGGGGGGGTTCCTCAGGAGCTGCTTCCGTTTGTCGTGAAACATGGTGCTCGCCATCAAGAACCTTCTGGAAGCCTGGGGCATCCGAGGTTTCCCTCTTCTGTTCTCCTCAACCCCACTGCATGAAGACAACATGCTGTCTTCCAACACCCTGTTCTTGCCAGCCAGCATATGTAAAAAGAGCCGTGGCCAGAATCAAAGGCTAAGAAAAAATAAAGAATAATGAGGGGGCTGTTTGCAGGGCATGGGCCGTGCAGGGCAGGGGCTGTGCATGGAGAGGGAGCTCTGGGCCCGGCTGCGCTCCAGCCTGCACGGAGCAGCTCTTTTCACCTGCCTGGCTCCTGTGGGCTTGTGATAAGCAGCTGCTAATTTAGTCCTGGGACTGTGGCCCGCACTAAGTTTTGATCCTAACACGCTGGTTCTTTGAAAAATGCACTTGAAGTCTTAAGAGGATTGCAAGAAACAGGCACAGCTGGCAGTGGACGCAGCATGCTGGGCTGTCTTGCCTGTGCCACCTGCCCGCTGTCCCAAGGGTTCTGTGAGCATTTTACTCTGCCCCTCTGCCAGCAGACTTTACTTTGTCCCAGTGTTGGGACATTTTATTTTTAAGGACGTGCTGCTGTATTTTTAACTTTTTGCTATTAAAAGGTTCAGGTTTATTTTTGGACAGCGTGAGTAGCAGTGGCTTCCCGCCGCTTCCATTTGACTAGGGGCTGTCACTTAGGGAGGTGAGCTGCAGGGAAGAGACTTCCTGTCCTGGAAGTTGCTGGTGAAACTTTGTTACAGCTCCCTCCTCTGCCCTCTGAAACAGGCTGAGAAGACATAAATAGGAGCGCAGCTGGCACCTTTCATGTGCACTAGGGCGCGGTGTCTTCTGCAGGGAGGCTTTCTCCCAGCTTCCCCAGGGAGCCTTTCTCCCAGCTTCCCCAAAGGACCTGTGAGCCGGCAGAGCCAGCCCATGTGGCACAGAGGTCCTGACTTCGGGCAGCAGGCCCAGCGTCACTCAGCAGCTGTCGCTCAGCTCCAGCTTGTAGGCACCTGTGGGCTAACGTCGTCAGTGCCATGGGTGCTGCTGGACAGCAGGAGGCACAGAGTAGGGAGGGGGAGGAGAGGAGCACTCCCCGGGAGACCCCGTCGACCAGCCAGGGCCTGCGGTTTGTGTGAAGTTTAATCCAAGACCGCATCTTTAACAGCTACATGGACTTCAGGCTGCCCATCTGCCTGCTTGGGTGCTGCTCAGAGCTCTGCTCAGATGGGGACACACAGTGAGAAGCCGGGGAGCACAGGGCACTGGGCCCTGTCACCTCCAACTACTCCATCCTGACTCAGTGTGACTGGGTGGCCATAGGTGTGGACTCGGTAGTAGAGGAAGCTATTGTCCCAGGAGGCTGTGTGACCAGTTCCAGCCGTGGCAGGCCCTGGCTCCCTCTGGAGGCTGCTGTGAGGCTCTGATCCCTCTCCTGGGATCCCAGCAGCCACCAGGGCTGGGCCTCTCCAGCGTTCTGCAGTCACCGAGCCCCTCGTTAGCAGGGGCCTCTACCCTGGTGCACGCCCTGGCTCCGGCAGGGCACTGCCACCCCCTCACCATGTGGGAGCTTCCCCGAGCTGCTAGACTCATGCTGTCCCTTTCCTCCCCAGTGCTGGGGCCCAGCGCACAACCTTGCCTGTGCCAGGCGGGCACCTACGAGCTCCACCCTCAGCCCCTCAGTGTCCTTTCCAAGTTGGAAGACTGGGCAAAACTGAGTGGCTTTGGGTAGGAGTTCCCAGGACACACCTGATCTTTGGTTTCGCCCTCTGTCTGGGTCAGAAGGAGGCAAGCCCGAGGGCCCAGCTTGGCTGTACCATCATGTTTTACAAGTAGCGCGAACTCGCTTCCCTCTCCATGCTGGTCACTGACCAAGCTTTCTGTGACTGCCTCTTCCCAAAGGAGCTCGCATCAGCACTGAAGTCAGCCCTCTCTGGCCACCTGGAGACGGTGATTTTGGGCCTGCTGAAGACCCCTGCGCAGTACGATGCTTCCGAGCTGAAGGCCTCTATGAAGGTGAGCTGTCCGTGAGTTAGTGCTTGTGAAGCGTAATTAGGTGATGTCCAGTGCTGACGAGTTCCCATTTGGCGCTTTCTTTTTCTGAGGGAATCAAAGACATGAGTTTCAGAATTAGTACCAAAAATATTTCAATTACTTTTTTTTTTTTTTTTTCACTTAAGGACTGCAAAAATTTCATGATGCTGAGAAGCCAGTTCCCAGCTGCCACCTGGGTGATTGGATACTATTTGGGAAAACGACTTCCTTGATTACGCTTCCTCCTTAGGGAAGATATGCTGAGGTGTTAGGGAGAAAGCGAGGCCCGGGGCTTTCATGCAGCAGCGCTCTCGTGGGGTTTCTCCCTCTGCCTTCTCCCTGTCAAGTTCCGATGTTTGCTTTAAGTCGGCAGAGCCAGAGCGAGAGGTATAGCGCACGGAATCATTAGAGCCACTAGACAAGAGGGGGAAATAAAAGGAATAAGAACAGGTAAAGAGGACGTTAAATTATCATTATTTGCAGATGACAGGATACTTTACTTGGAAGACCCAAAAATTTCCACCAAGAACCTCCTAGAATTGATACACAAATTCAGTAGCATAGCAGGATACAAAGTCAATACTCAAAAGTCAACAGCATTCCTCTACACCAGAAGGTTGATTTCAGATGGTGGGTGGGGCCTGGGTTTTGTTCAAAGACTTACGGCAGGGGATAAATTGGTAAAAATTCTGATTTGAAATCCCCCGAACTGCGTGCATGTCTGAAGACACCGTTGTTTAAGTACAGTAGCTACGTACGTGTAGGTGTACGCTCAAGCGACGGAACTTCAGGCCGCGCGGGCTTGGGACGCTCTGCGCAATCTGATGCTGCCCTCTGCTGGCGCGACCGGGGACAGCCTGCGTAGGGCGAGGGAAGCCGCCTCCCTGGGTGGGTAGGTCGGTAGGTCTTTCTTTTTAAATATTCCGAGTCCCGGTGTTTTCTGTGAGGCCACCGTTTCTGAGTTACGGGCTGACTGGGCTGGAAGCCTCCCTGTCACTGAAGTAATGTCATAGTTCCGGTGTCCTCCTTTCCCCAGCGAGCAGCTCTGCACGTGGGGCATCTCCGGCCCTGTTGGGAGCTCAGGGCTGCAGAGAGACGCTGCTGGGCGCCTTCCTGCAGCGCTCGGCTGATGCCCGCAGGCCTTGCTCCGAGCCCCAGCAGGCTGTGCTGCCCGGGCGCATCCCCAGGACGGTGGCTTGTCAACAGTACTTGATCGCTGGGCTCAAGGACCCCTCCCAGGCAGCTTCTTGTGGCTTCTTCTCACCTCAGATCAGTTTTCTGTTTTTTCATCAGGAGTCCGTTTTGTTCATTCATGAGTCTCTCCTCATAGCTGTTATCGGTTCTTCTGGCTGACTGGGGCTTCGGGTCAGTGGGAGCGGCCCGCCGCTGCCCTCGCCTCTAATAGGAGCCGGTGAAAGACGCTGTGCCCGGCCAGGCCTTGCCCCGGCGCCAGCTTTCCCATTAGCTGCCGCAGCCCAGCGCCCTGCTGAAAGCTGGCGGGCTGGAAGAGGCACTCGCCAAGCTGTGCTTCAGAAAAGTCTGTGTGGACTGCTGGCGACACCCGGGGCAGTATCTGCCGTATGTCACCGGAGAAGTCGACCTCGTGGTTGTGGGCAGTCGAGGACAGCCTGGGCCGAGTTTTGGGAATGGCCAAGGTCACCTCTGCATGTAGGCCAAAAGAGCTCTTAGGATTCTCCGACGTCAGCACTGTTTAACAGGGATGGAGGGGACAGGCTTGCCTGAGCACGCCTGACTTGAAGTTCTTCTGCGTCATGATGTAGCGCTGCTTTGAATGCATGAGTTGACTTTCAGGGTAATCCTGTCATCCTCGAGACCGAAAAACTGCCCTTCACTAAAGCATTCAGAGAGCCACAATACCACGTTACGGCATCTGTGTAGATGCTGCGTGAACCTTCGGCTAACCCAAGGGGAGTTCTTGGCTCTGCTAGAACCTCTGCACATCATGATAAAAATTCTGGGAGAAGAGCCTTTGGCTCAAAGATTAGATTAAGAATAAAATTCAAAATTAACTATGAACCTGAGGCTTAGCTTAGATTATAGAAGCCACTTTTTCAGGGGCATAGAAACTCTAATAAGCTTAATTAATAGCTGACACACTTTTCATGTGGATACGTTTCTTATTGTCTTAGCACCTTATAATTGATTTACATTTTAAACAGTTGTAATTCTACTTAGTTCAAAGTAATATTTCCATATTCGGGAAGACAAGTATTAGTGAGTCCTGATTAGTAAATCTTGTCTTTGATCATGGAGCCAGCTTTGAAATACATGTTTCATTGAGCCCTTTCAAGCTATCTGCACGCTGCAAAGTGTATATATTAAATTTGAATACATCACTCACCGAATTCTGACTCCTTAATAAAGTGTTGGTGTCTAGGTTTATTTGGCATGTCATTATTTCCCTTTGCCTGCCTCGAGGGCCTGGAGAATGCATACTAAGCAGGCAGGAACGGGAGAACAAGAATGAAATTTTTAACACTAACCCAATTTTACATTTCAAAGAAGAGAAGCTAAAAATTTTATCCTAACTGTACCTTTCCCTGGTAAGAAGACTTATCTTAATCTTCTGATGCTGGCTACATGGGACAACATAAGATATTTTGTATTCCTTTATTTTAGATTAGTGAGAAGAGTTGTTTGTTGAAGAAAATCATTGCCCAGCTATTAAAATAAGGGGTGCCTATTATAGAAATGAAAAACAGGGAGAGAGAGAGCTTATATGAAAGTCTGTCCCAGTTAGGGTGTGCTCTATTGCTGTCTCTTCCCGTGTGCCCTTTATAAATCAGTCAACGAATCAGTCAGTCAGTCAACCCACAGCTTTGCTTAGCATACAAGAAACCCTGGGTTCATTCCCCAGTACCACAAAACACAACAAAGAAACCCGCCCTTGGGCTGGAACATGCTGCACCTGTCATCTTACACACTGCCAAAAGATTTTCTTTTTCTTTTATTTTCTATATTTTAGGGAAGGGTCTACAGGGTGTTAGGGTCTCACTACTAGATAGGACTCACAGTGACCCGTCTGTTTACAGCCTCCCAAGAGCTGGGATTGCAGGCGTGCATCACCACGCCCAGTCTCAATTGCCATCTCAGCATGCCACGGGGGTGGGGCAGCCACGGCAGGCCTGGGGGTCGAACCCCCACCCCCTGCGCCTGCTTGCAGGTGCTTTAATCCACTGAGCTATTTTGCCGGCCCCAACAGATTTTCTTTTTAAAGAATTGAAGAATACCCTAGACAGTCAGTAGGCCAGTGGGTGGGAGAATTCTCAGAGACCCTGTCCAGTGTCTGTGGCTCCTGGTGGAGGCAGGGATGTGGACTGGTGGTGCTCAAGACTGCTGATGTCTCCGTGTCTTGGTTCCCAGGGGCTGGGGACCGATGAGGACTCTCTCATCGAGATCATCTGCTCCAGAACCAACCAGGAACTGCAGGAGATCAACAGAGTCTACAAGGAAAGTGAGTGGTCCTATCTGTGAGTCCTTCTCCCAGCCTAGGGTCGGATGCCTTCACGGCAGCCGGTGCCAGTGTCCCAGATGGAGCGCCATCTTGGTCTGGTGGGGTGGGGAGCTGGCCGTGGTCCTGGTCCCTGCTCTCCTGTGATCTCAGTGTTGCATTCCACAGAATGGCCACCGAGGGATAGGCAGGCGGGAAGGAAAGAAAGCAAAATGTATTTCAGAGGGAAAGCTAAGGGGGAGAAGTAGAAAAATCCAGTGTCTATGTGGATTCCATATACTAGGTACGGCCAACCAGATAGCTCAGCAGACTAAAGCGCCTGCTCGGGCAGATGCAGGGACCAGGGTTCAGTCCTCGCTGTGTCGTGCTGGCCCCGCCCCCAGGGTGCCCTAAGACTGCGAATGAAACAGCGTGGTGGCACGTGCCTGTAATCCCAGCTCTGGGGAGGCTGAGACAGGAGGATCACTAGGAGTCCAATCTATGTAGGGAGACCCTGTACTAAATATATTTTTGAAAAAGAACGACCATATACTAGGTGCTGTCTAGCTTCTCTTTAAGAAGTTCCTGCAAGGCCACTGCAGGAGGCCCGTGGACCTGCGTGTGCCAAGCAGGGTAGGAGGCAGAGGGTGGCACAGAACGTACCTTGCGTTGCCGCCGTGTTGCCGTGTAGGTACTGTTTTGAATACTGAGATGCAAATTCATACAGAAGTATTAGTTCATTTGTATTGACTTTGGCTATTCGTGCATTTTCTGAATCTGTGCATAGCATTAATAATTATGTGGTGGGCGGTGCCAACTTTGTTGGTATTAAAAATGATTATTTGGAGTCAAGAAGTTTGAGAACAAGAATTTTTCGGGGTGGTGGCCGTGTACTGGGAATTGAACTCAGGACCCTGAGCTTCCTAGGCAGGGGCTTGTGTGGCTGAGCTAGGTCCCTGGCCCCAGAACCAGCCTTTGAAGTCCAGAGAGAGCCTGATTTAACTTAGACCTGTCTGTCCCTTGGCGTGGACAGCTCTGCACTGACATTCACGGGAAGCAAGCTCTCCTAGAGCGCTGGCCTTCAGCTTAGGGCTCAGGAGCTGCACGCATCCCCAGCCACCAGCCACGCCTGTGGTTGGGCCTGCGCTGGCGTGTCTGGTGCCCGGAGTGGCTGGCTGTCAGGGCACCTCACACAGATGCGCTGTTTTTCAAGTGTACAAGACCGACCTCGAGAAGGACATCGTCTCTGACACATCCGGTGACTTCCGCAAGCTGATGGTTGCCCTGGCCAAGGTTGGTTTCTCTTTTCTTTCTTTGCCCTTCCTGCCACCCAGGCGGGCCATGTCCCTCATTTCATATTCAGGAACAAATTGGTTCAGCTTGCGCCCGAGATCCCGCCAGTGGGTCTCCTCTGGCGCTGCAGAGTTGTCACTTCTGTATGACAGTATTATCCCAAGAAACCGTGTGGACAGCTGGACTTCGGGGGCCAGGCAGGACCAGGCAGCCTTCAGGTTCTGGCCTGGGTCTGTGTGCCAGCCCTTGTCACATGGTTAGGGATGGTCACCTTGCCTCTCTCTGGGCCATGCAGGACCTGCCTAGAGTGACCCCTCATCTGTCTAGCCTCACCCTGCTGAACGAGAGCCTTGGCCACCTCGGCCTTTGTGGAGGCCTAGCTGATTGCAGGGGTGAAAGCGACTCCTGTTCCCCTTGAGTTCCGGGCCTCACTCAGGAGTGGGAGAGAGCAGCTTCTACCCAGGCACCCAGCAGCGACAGCAACAGCCAGTGGCTGGGCTTATGTGCGTCCCTACGCTGGCCCCGGGTCCCTCTTCCTCTGCTGCCTCCTGTGTCCCACCGTCCTGGGAGATTTTTGGAAACCACTTCCACCTTTACTGCCACGCCCCCTCCAATCCAGGTGCCAGTCGCCACCACCCTGGGCCTCTCTTGTGGCACCATGCTCCCTGTGAGCCCAGCCTGTCCACACCGAGGCCGTCCCCCTGAGTCCTGGGCCAGGACCGCCCTTCCCAGACTGCGCCCTGCAGAGATGGTCCTTCCTCTGCCTTCCCAGCCTCATTAGCGTTGTTTTCCACCAGTTCCCTGCTCACTTCTCCTCTGGAGGGAAGAGGCCCAGGCCCAGCTCGTCAGGGAGGCAAGGCAGGGCCTGGAACCGCCCAGGGGCGCCTGTGGCTTCCACGCCCACCATATCTCTTCTTGTCTAGACTGAAAAAAAACAAGAAAAAGAAAAATATATGTTTATGTTTGTTTAGGAAATGAAATAGTGGCTTATATGAGCTGGGGAGAAAAGATTTGCAGTTTAAAAAAAGCACACAGAGCTACGTTTGATGGTCCCCCTTTCCTGCTTCCTGTAGGGCAGGCGAGCAGAGGACGGCTCTGTCATTGACTACGAGCTCATCGACCAAGATGCCCGGGTGAGTGCCGCGCTTCTCAGAGTGTCTCGTTCTGCTCAAGTGCGATACAAGCGCTGGACCATTCTCGGTGTCTCTGGAACAAGCTGCCCCTAAGCTTAGTGGACCGCTCGGGAGGCTGAGGCGGGAGCATTGCAAGGTCTGAGGCCAGGGTGGGTAGCTTAAGAAAATCCAAGAAGGGCTGGGCCTGTAGCTCAGTAGGTTGAGCGCCCTTGGCTTTCACCACTGTGCCAGGAACACCACCACCACTGCTGGCGGCTGAGCAGACCCCCAAGATCGCTGTTACTTGGGTCAGCAACTGGGCAGTGCAACAGCCAGGCGGCTCGGCCCGGGATCACTGGCCAGGGCTCTGGTCCCCTGAGGGCTTCACTGCTGGGGCCTGGGGGCTCACGGACTGTTGGCAAGATGCCTTGGTGTCTGTCTGCAGTCCCCTGAGTGTCCTCACAGTGTGGCAGCCGGCTGTCCAGGGTGGGAGTGGTGTGAGCTTCGGTGGCCTCATCCCAGGAGCCACACGCTGTCATCCCAATAGTCCCTGTGTCTGTTCTTGTCAGTGCGAGGTGCCAGTGGTCCTCCCGTGCAAGGGAGGGTCTCAGAGAGCTGGGGCACATCTTAGAGCCACACCAGGGAGCGAGCCCTGGTTAGATCCTCTCTCCCAGAATGCTGACAGCAGCCAGCATAGGCTTGGCCTGGGCTCCTGAGCTTTGCCTGTGTGGAGGCGTGGTCTCTGCAGGGCAGCCTGGCCGCACCCCAAGGGCAGGAGGAGTAGGAAGCAGGAGAGGAGGCACAGCCGCGTGGAGACGCTCTGTGCTGCCACCGTGGTGGACACTGGCGTCTGTCCTCCTAGAGCTCTGCAGATGCCCCCAAGAACTGCTGGAGAAGAACCACTGGAGAACTGTTGCTTTAGTCTGTTTGGGACTATTTGTGTGTCCAATCCAGGGGCCCAGCAGTTATCCTGAAGCGTGTCACAAAAGCTGTCAGAAAAGAAGTAAATTTATTTTAGCTTTAAACTTCAGCACATTCTACACTGCACTTTTAGCAAGAGGTAGAGAGGAGGTAAACTCACAGTTCTAGAAACTGGGCTTTGTGGCTCCAGGTAGCAGAGGGGCCCTGGGGGAGTCCTTCCTTACCCTTGAGTTTCCTGCCATTGAGGACAGACTGGCGTCTGCCTTTCCTACCCCATCACTGCTGAGTTTCCGAGGAGCCTGGCCTGTCGCTGTCATTAGCGGATGGCAGTGTACCACGAGCTGCTAGGCAGGCTCACATGTGCTTGTGCTGCTTATGCCCGGGCACCCGTCTTTCTCCTGCCTGGGAGGAAACTTGTCTGCGCTCACTGGGCACCCAGGCCCCGGGGTCGCACTGCCTCTGTCTGTGCCTCATTGCTGTGGCGCTGTGTGCGTCTCTGTGACATTGCCCTGGCTCGCTGACGCATGGGCTGCGTGGCGTTTGGGACTGTGATGTGACAGCTCTCATACTGCGTTGCCTGTGCTTGCAGGATCTCTATGATGCTGGTGTGAAGAGGAAAGGAACGGATGTCCCCAAGTGGATCAGCATCATGACGGAGCGGAGCGTGTGCCACCTGCAGAAAGGTGGGTGCCGTGCCTGGGTGGGGGCCTGGCACAGGCTGCCCGCAGGCTCCGTGACGTCGCCACCGAGGCCCAGTTCTGCTGGGGCGGGGCTCACGCTTGCTGGGCGCTGAGTGGGCTCGCACCCACCTGCCTCCCGAGTACTGTCCACGTTTAGTGTCTGAGCTCACGTCTCCCTTTCTCTTCTTTTCTGCTCTTCTCCCACTTCTTCCTGGACGGAGGACTGAACCAAAGGCCGTGTGCTGGGCTCCGTTCCTGGTCTTTCTTTTTATGTTTGAGACGGGATCTTGCAAAGTTGTTAGGTTGCCCAGAGTGGGTTTAAACTTGTGGCCCTGCCTCAGCCCTCACAATACTGGATTGCGGGCCCACCCCACCACCCCAGCCACTTCCAATCTTTGAGAATGTTTGTATCTTGACGTAGCTGTGGAAGTCAGGGACGTGGCTGGCACCGCCTGCCATTACTGGAGCAGTCCATGCAGGGCAGGCTCCTGTGCGGCGATGCAGGACAGCCGTGGGAGGGCTGCGCTGGTTTCCCACGGCAGCCGCTCACCCCTGCCTTGCTCCGGGGATCATCCTTGTTTATTTCTATCGTGGTGCATGATGGGGCGAGCCTGAACCCTGCCCGGCGGCCCCGAGGTGATTTCTTGTTGCTGCTCTGCAGTATTCGAAAGGTACAAGAGCTACAGCCCCTACGACATGCTGGAGAGCATCAAGAAGGAGGTCAAAGGAGACCTGGAGAATGCCTTCCTGAACCTGGGTAAGCCCGCCGGCCCCCGTCCTTCAGGCCCGTGCAGCGCGCAGCGTCACGGCTTCTCTGCGCCGAAGCGTGCGGCGCGCAGCCCTCGCAGCCCCAGCGCTAGTCCCGCGTCTCGCTCTGCTGGCCCCGGCTCCCTCCTGATCGGTTCTGTGCGCCCGGGGTGTTGGGGCGCCGCCGCCCGCGCTGACGTGGCTCCTCCTCTCCGCAGTCCAGTGCATCCAGAACAAGCCCCTGTACTTCGCCGACCGGCTGTACGACTCCATGAAGGTGCGGCCACCCCCTCTCCTCCTCTTGTGCCTACTGGCGAGCACCCTGGGAGGGGACCTGGGCCCCCGGGTCGGGCACACGCCGGGCAGCTGCGATGTGTGCCTGGGCCTGTCCGCTCTGACCCGCGTGGATGTGTGACTGGGTACGGATGACAAATCAGGCGGCACCAGAGGGCGAAGCGTTGCCCAGAGGAGGGCTGCCCGCTGTGCCCCGGCTGGCATGCGCATCACCCCTCTACCCTGGCGGGATTCTTATTTTTTGAAGAGGAATTCTAGGGATTGAACCTAGGGCTTTTCCCTGAACTAAATCTCCCGCCGCCCCGCCCCCCCCACCTTTTTCATTTTATGAAAAAGATTCTCGCTCAGTCAGGCTTCAACACACTGTTGCCTGCCTCGGCCTCTCAGAGCAAGGGGATTCCAGCTTACTCCGTGTAGACGAGAGGCTGGTGCCTTGAGGAGCCTCAGCGAGCCGGCCTGCGACTGCCTGGCTCCAGAGCAGCCCCTCACCTCTCCCTAGGTGACCCCTCTCCACCTTTCACGGCCTGGCCTTGCTCCCTCTGCACCCCCTTGCCCACGCTGTCCCTGGCGTCCCTCCTCGAGTCCCTGGCCACAAATGCCTCTGCCTGAGGCTCTGGAAGTAGACTTGGGGTTTCCACCGCCTGTCCCACCCACGCTGGCCCAGACCCGCAGAAAGCCACGTGGTGGCACCTCCTGTGACCTCTCAGCTATCACTGCGAATAGAAGCTCACAGACCTCTGGAGCAGGGCCAGATTCTGGCGCACAGAGCCGGCCTTGTGCTGCTCCACCCTGGTGTTTGTGGAATCCAGTGCTGCTTTTGCTGGAGGGACTTGTTTCAGCTCCGTGGAGCACGGCACTGAGAGCCACCTGTGTGCCAGGGAGGGGACTTGCAGGGGCTTCTTGGCGACAGTGTGCTCAGGACTGTAACCTGGTACCAAACTTGACCTTCAGGGCAAGGGCACCCGTGACAAGGTTCTGATCCGGATCATGGTCTCCCGCTGTGAGGTGGACATGCTGAAAATCAGGTCTGAGTTCAAGAAGAAGTACGGCAAGTCCCTGTACTACTACATCCAGGTGAGTGCCCTGCCTGGACCCCCGAGGGCCCTGGCATCCCGCAGACCACCAGCCTCGGGTCCCCGAGCAGGCGGACGGCAATAGCAGAAGAGTGGCTTCCTGCTTTCCGTTCCCTGGGATGCTGGTCGTCAGATCCAGGGGTTACTCTGGGTAGGATGGGTCCTGCGCACTGTGCTAGCAGGCCAGTGCGTTCTGTTCCCCACATCCATGACTCGCTTTCTCCTGGCACTGGTGCCCTCTGGAAGAGGCTTTGAAGACCGGTGACATTCGGAGTCTGTTTTCCCAGAAGAGGCTCACAGTGTCTGTTCACAACTCCCATGTCCTTAATCTGTGTGGTGCACTTTAGGGTAAAGGGAATAGTGTAGAAGGGCTGGCTGTGGTGTGGGATTCAGCCTGCCACCTAGGAGACCTGCACGGTTCCGGGACCGGTCTCTGGTTCCCGAGGATAAACTTAAGGTGGCTTTGGTGGCGCAGGCTGCAGCAGGGTGCGTGTTCGGAGTGGAGCCTGTTGCTTTCCCCTGAGCTGCTTCTTCCACACCACCTCAGGGTCAGGACAGCAGCACGTGAGGCACAAGGAGAGTGGGTGTCTGCAGCACCCCTACTGGGACCGTAGTCCCCAGCTCCTCCGCCACACCCCTCCCCCAGAGGCCCGCGGGCTGCAGCCCAGGAAAGGGCCACAGAGTGTGCCCATCTGCCTGGCAGGGGCTCCGCTGTGTCCTGAGGCTGCCATGGTCCCCAGGCACTGGTCTCGCTTCTCACACAGCCTTCTCTTTTTCTTGGGGGCCACTTGCAGCAAGACACCAAGGGCGACTACCAGAAAGCGTTGCTGTACCTGTGCGGTGGGGACGACTGAACTCCGGCCCCCCAGGCTCCCTAACGTCCTGGAGAACCCGCTTGCGACTAACAGCCCCGGCCACTCCCCGTGGAGACACCCCAGCCCCTCGCTCCAGTCCCCCAGGGCGCCCGGCTTCCCCGCAGCCTCTCGGATAAGCCAAAGAAGTGAACATTCCGAGGAGTCCGAAGTGAAGTCAGCGATGTGAAAGAAGCGCTTTTCCTCCTGTGTACTGGGTCACAAATAAACTATTTTTACTTTAGAAACAACTGCTGTGTGCGTGGGCCTTGATTTCCATTTGAAAATGAAACCCGCTTGAGGTTGTGTTGCTCGGCTGGCGAAGCCCCCTCCGGGGAAGGGCTCAGTTCCCGCAGCCACTGTCCTCGTGTGCCTGCGCGGGCACACCACGCCGAGGTAAAAGCCCTTCAGTCACACTGTCCATACTTGCTCTTTCTTCCCACCTCCTTTTTCCCCAGTACTGGGTATTGAACCCAGAGACTTTTGTTTTTAAGGGAATAAAATATAGTTTAAAAAAATTAGAAACAATACAGAATTTCACTGAACAACAGGAATTTGGCAGTGGTTGTTACATTTCATGTTTTCAAATTAGATTATCAGATATAAGCATGTAAAATTGATAAAAAATATATAAGAAATTAAAAATAAAAAGTTTAAAGCATTAACTGCTCCTTTCACTAGACTCGCAGAAATGAGCAGTGCAGTTGTCTCAGCTGTCCTGCGTATATATGTATACATTCCTTTTTCCCTCCTTTCATTTGTCCTTTTCTTCCTCCCAGTCGTTCCTTTCCCTTTGAACAGATTCTTTCCCTTTCACATTGTATACTGTATCTTTCAGATTTTATTTAGTCTTACAGATTCTTACCTTAGGGAGACAATACGATGTTTATACGTGCAGGTCTGATTGATTTCACTTCTGAGTGTGGCCTCTAGTTGCATCCACTTATGTGTAAAACCCTGAGTTAATCTTTTAAAAATTTTTATTTATTTGGTACAGGGTCTTGCTACGTAGCTCATCTCTGTCTCAGGCTTCCCAGCACTGGGATTACAGGCGTGCACCACCGTGCCCAGTTTCACCGAGTGCCTGGGGTTCCGGGGCCAGCACAGCATGTGATACCAGGAATTGAAGTTGGGTCCTTGCACTTGGCAGGCAAGCGCTTAGGCCACGGAGCTATCTACCCAGCCCCAAGGTTATCTTTTTACAACTGAGTAATACTCCATTGTGTAAAAATACCACGTCTTTTGTATCCATTCCTGTCAGTGGGCCTTTGGGTTGTTTCCAGGATTTAGCTATGACAGCTGGCACTGCCATAAACATGGGATGTATCGCTGTGGTCTGATGTTTTCAGTTCTTTTGGAAAAACTCAGGGTTCCTGAACTGAGCTACATATCCTGGATGCTTTAGTTTATGAGCCAGGATTTTGCTGAGTTTCCCAGGCAAAGCTCAAGCTCGTGGTCCTCCTGCCTCAGCCTCCTGGGGCGCTGGCATTACCGGCCCAGCCACCATGCTCAGCCACACGCACTTCAGGGCTCAGCAGCGCCTGTGTTTGCAGCAAGCATGCTAGCTGCACGCCAGCGGGGCCAGGTGGAGGACATTTCTGTCCAATGGGGTCTCGGGGCGGCACTCCACACCCTCCTGTGGTCCAGCTCATCTCCCTGCAGGGAAGTAAAGTGAGGCGAGCAGAGCACGGGCCGGGAGGTGGACGATGTTCAGAAGACTTGCAGGTACCAGAAGCTGGCACCGGTTCTGTCCTGCTCCTGCACCAGCCCCGCCTGCCTGTGAGCTGGGCTGTGGCGTTCCGGTGAGGAGGGAGTGAGGAGGGGAAGTGGGCGTCTTCTGACGGGGTGTGCTGGGTTCCTGAAATCCAAGGTGAAGCCCAACCGCCAGAGGAAGCTCCCCCACAGGCGCCTCTGGGCCAGGTCTGCGTGCTGGCTGCTCCCGCTGCGGATGTCCATGCCTCTGATGCCCATCTCGGACTCCGCGCCCTGGAGACCATTTGCCCCCTGGTTTCTGCTGTGTCCTTGAGGCAGAGTTCGCACAGTGCTCATGCTGGGCAGGTGCTGTGTGCAGACCGCTATCCGGGCCCTCCGGTGGCTGCTTGTCTAAGGACTTCCCAAGCCGAGCCAGGCCAGGGCAGAGGGTGGGCGCGCAGGACCCTCCACGCCCTAGCGTCGCACGCCGTCCTCTCGGGGGCTTCGCACTGGTGGTGAGCCCTGACTCCTGGCAGGTGGAGCACAAGCCCTGCAGACTGCAGAGACCAGGCAGGGAGTGGGAGTCGGTGTGCAGGAGAGGCGCACCCTGGAGTCCCCGGGCCACCCCCTTCCTGCACGGCTCGAGTTTGGTTAACTCCGCAGCTGCAGCGGGCTGAGCACGTAGCTCCACGGCTTGCAGACCGGTCCCTGTTGTTAACCCCCTGGGCAAGCTTCAGATGAAATTTGGACGGAGCAAGGCTTGGGTCACAAGGGCTAAAACATCTTTCTCAGGCAGTTAATGTTTAACTTTTTTCTCTCCTTTTTAATTTTTCATAATTTTTTGACCAATTTTGCATGTTCTATCTGAACTAATTTGAAGACAGCAATATGCAATATAACAACCATTGTTGGATTTCTGTCATTTTGTTCAGAGAAATTTGGTATCATTTCTAATGTTTTCTTTTTCACTTTCACTATCTTTTTATTCTCTTTACAAAATAAACACATTTTTGAAAAACCAAAAAAAAAAAAAAAAAATCTGGTTGTGCAGAGGGTGTTGGACCACACGGGCCCTCCGGAGCCTATTAGAACTGCTGTCCCAGTGCAGAAAGGTCCTCTTGCATGGGCTTGTGGCAGAGTTCCCGGAACTGCAGGACAAGCAGGGCCTTTTTCTTTAATCCCAAACGATTGCGCAGAACTCAGGAGGTGTGGGCCTGGCCCACCGCCACCAGGCGCGGAGATTCCGAAGAGCAAATATGTGGACCTTCAAAGAGCTCCCCAGGAACCGTGGGAGCAGGAGCAGGAGGCCAGGCAGCGGTCCTGTGCCACTTCTGTCCCCAGCTTTCCTGGGGCAGAGCTGACAATCAGGGAAGATGCGGGAAGGGCGCCAGGCAGGCTTTCCCTTGTCATGTGAGGATGACCACATACAAGGCTGATTTTCTTTTTTGACTTTTTTTTTTTTTCCCGGAACCGGGATTGAACTCAGACCCTTGCATTTGCCAGGAAAGTGCTTATTCTACTGAGCCATCTCCCTGGCCTGATTTTCTTTTTTCGAAGAAAAATAAATAATAAATAAAAGGTCACGGTTGTGTGGAGCAGCCATGGAAATGTACTGCACTGTGGCACTATGACCAAGAGCGTGCTTCTACTCCCATACTCTTCCCATCAGTCTGTGTGTCTACCGTCATCCCTGAAGTCGTGCTGCGGTCAACCTAAGCGGCCGTGCGCAATGGACTTGTGCTGGCCGTAACCCCCAGCATGTGTGAGGCGCACGGTTAGGCCTTCGCTGTGGTGGCAGTTTACCTGTTCTACTGGGCTGTAGCCAACTGACCGTGTATATAAATCTTCCCCACTAGGCGAAGTTCCTGTGGTATGAATTATTAGTAAAGATAGCTAAGGCAGGGAAAACCAGACTCACAAAGCAGCTCCATTTAGCAAGAAAAATGATTTGAGGACAGAAATCTTTTAAATCAATTTTTAGTCTTTAAATGACTCCAATCTGCAGGCCTTTGCTTGCATTTTGACAAATGGCTTTGGCTTCCTACCCACATCGGTTTATTTGACCTCCTTTTTCCATCAACTACCAAAATGAAAACTGCTACTGCAAGACAGAGAGAGAAAGAGGGAGCAATTTTAAATATCCCCCAGCAATGAGGCAGAACATGCTATAGCCATCAAGTGCTAGTTGTTCGTTCTATTTATTGAAAAAAGCCTGTAGCCTGATGTCTTTTACGCGAGGACGTTTGAGCAAGCAGAGTTTACGGAGATGACTTATCTCATCACATTAGAAGAGTGATTTGCTATCTCAGCATCTATAAGCAATTTTAACAGACGTTTCTGGATGAAGAAAAGCTTTTGTAAATATATGCGAAAGACACGATTTCATCAAGCATTAAGCTAGAGGTGCCCTGCAAAAATATTACATTTGTGCATTCAATTAGCTTGATTGAGGCTGAATTTTGTCCACCGAAGGCAGCATTTCTGCAGAAAAACAGAAGCATTCCCTGTGTCAGCAGGTTTTCTAGAACAGAACAGCTCAGTTTCCCCCTGCGCATCTTATCTGCATTGCTGCGGTCCCTGGCTACGCATCCTTATCAGACGTTCAGCCTCTTCTTCCTCGCTCCGAGAGGCGAGTGGCAGCCCCAAGCCACTCTACTGAGGCTGTGGAGAAATCGGGATCTGACTGTCCTGGACGCGGCAGCCCGAGTCTAGCCTGAGAGCAAGGCAAGCTCTGGGCCACACGGGGGGGGGAAGCAAAACGGCCAAGGGCACCTAAAACTCCCCCCGGAACCTGCCGGGCCAACCCGGCCCCCCAAGGCCGCAAGAAGGGGCAAAAACCCGGGGGGGGACACTGTGGCAGATGCTTTCCTGGAGGTGTGCATACTGATCTTTCCTCCGGCTTCCAAAGCTTTCCTCTCTGGTTACGGGAAGAGAGGATTTCGTGAAGAAATGGAGAACAGGTGGGGCACAAGCAGGGCAGGACTCTAAAGCCGCTGTGAAAGAAAGGGTTAAGTCCCATCGTGCATCCTGCGTGAGAGCTGCTTTCCGAGACCTGAATCCCTGGGTGACTCTGTCACCATGCCAACAGCCTGGAGTGTTGTTCTACTGGCTTAGATGGCTTTGATTTCTCACGGACTCACCACTGTCTATGCAGCTTGTTGTTGCTGAGGGCATCATGGCGGGGTGTTTAGGACGATCGCCAGCCCTAGCCCAATGGACTGCCCCATCCTGTGGTTCAGGCAGTGAAAGTCAGGAGCTAAGATGGCCTTTGTATTTTCAAAATCTAGTTCAAGAGGATTGGGCTGGGATTGTCTTCAGAGTAAAAGGTTCTGGGGAGAAGCAAGTGGCCGATCCCTGGGACAAGTGCACAGCTAGAATCTGAGATGGGAGGAACCCAGGACTGGAGGAGGGTGCCCGGATACCGTGTAGTGCTCAGAGGGTCCTGACCTCAGAGAGGGCCTCGAACTGACTACATTCGTGTTGGGTTCTCTGGGCAAGTCTTAGCACTGGGACAGGGAAAATAGAGTATGCGCCCTGCCCGGTGTTCACAACTCCTTCG